CATGTATTTATTGACCATTTGCACTTATTCTTCAGAGAGAAGTCTGTTCACTTCAGTTGCTGATTTTTTGATTTGGTGCTTTATTTTGTAGGGGTCTAATTTTGTTTGAGTTCTTTATATATTCTAGATATTAGTCCTCTGTCTGAGGAAGAGCTGCAAATAAAGTTCCCCTTTTTTGTTGGTTATCTCTTCACTCTGTTGGTTGTTTCCTTTGCCGTGCAAAAGGTTTTTAATTTGATATGATCTCATTTATTGATTCTTGATATTATTTCTTGTGCATTTGGAATTATGTTCAGAAAGTCCTTACCTATGTCTTCAAGAGTTTTACCTATTTTATGTTCAAGCAGATAAAACATTTCTGTTTTAACATTTACTCTTTGAACCATTTTGGTTTTACTTTTCACAAGCAAGGCTTGTTGAGCCATATTAAAATTCTTGTCTGATGAATAGACAGATCTCAATCTTTAGATGCCACTAGTATGAGAAAAAAGTGTTACCTGTATTCAGAACAGTGTGTCATGTGCCGTTAGCTTGGGTGATGAATTCATGCCATGAACTTGTGTGATGAATTCAGTGTCATAATGTCTGCAAGAGCTGGAACCATGCAAGAGACAGCTGAATTTATTTGACAATAATTCACTATTCACATTTGGCTCTCGTTAAATTGTGTGCTGTTCATACAAGACTATTTTAAATAGATTTTACAACTCTTACTACAAGATCTTAAGTTTCTATTTTAAGTATTCAGTACCAGCTTTGATTTTTTTTCTTGATGGAATGCTAAACATTTTGTGTTGGATGACTCAGTAGGATATAGGCAAACAGGTGAGAAAGAAATTTGTGTGTCCCTTTAGCACCTTTCTATGTTTTATCTGATACTTATTGAACAGGGAAGTACAAGCATCAGTTCCTAATGTATAGTCAGATATGGGAGTAGCATTAACAGTATAGAATTGGCTCAAAGGTTTTCACTTACAAAGTCATATTCTTCTCCACACACTAAACCTCACCAAACTATTACAATTGTAGATTACAATTGCCTCCCATCAGTCCAGTACAATAATAATTTTGAGATTCATATCTAACAGGGCCATAAAGTTTGATTGTTTCTCCACACCAAAGTTTCCCACACTACCTAGATGAGTGTTCCATTAGGAACAGAGAGCCCTAGGCTCCAAACTCTAATTATTTTTCACCTTACAGCAGCTGTGGTTGGGATAAAAGAAAACAGTGGAAGCAGAGAGATGCTCTGCACCACTAGAAAGGCTTTGCATTTACTATTGATACTGCATAGTGTAGTGGTTTGTTTTGTCTTACCACATTAAACTTCTAATATTTTGAGAATGCTAGCATTCTAAATGGTGAAGTCCTAATTGCTAATATTCTATTTAGTCTTAGAGAATGTTTTCACTCAGGAATTATATGGATTTATTTTCCATTTAGAATTGTATGTTTTGCACCTCTATCTAACTTGGCTAACACAGCAGCAAAGTTACATATTTGAGAAATTAATCATAACCTAGGGTAGCAAAATAACATTTAAAATTTTGTCACATTATTTACACATTGTAGCTCAGAGATTTTTCCAGGATAGTAGTAATGATAACACCTTTCTACATGACTTTTAAATGAATACACATTTCTTTGGGTCAGATTCTCATTCCTAAGTGGGTAAATTTGCATCTCTATATACCCATTCTGAGGAAATAAGAGTCCAAGTACTAGGAAATGTTTGATCTATAGTGTACACAGGATTGTTTGTCTTAGAAATATCCCTGAGAGGGGGTAAAAACAACCCTAAATTTATTTATTGTGATCTCACAATATTTCTAATGGTTTCATGATCATCAGGAGGATGAGTTAAATAATGGAACAGCCCCATTGTTCACATTCTTGGTTCATAAACATTATTTTCTTGGTCAACCTCATTTTTCAAGTGAACAGCATAAGTACAAATGACTTGACAGTGTTCTGCCCGTAGTGCAAGTTATTTCCCTCCATTTTCTCTCAGTATTAGTGTATGTCTCTGTAATTGTTCTCTGAAAGGGGACAAAAACGTATGCCAACTCAGAATCTCAGTACTGTTTTACACAGTGGAGCAGGTCAGAGCTCAACTATCTGGTGGGCAGGCAAGTTGCTTCACTTGGTACTGAGTAAGCAACAAAGGAATTATTCCTTAATAGTTTCAACCTCTGTCCTAGAACCTAATTCTGGGTACTTAAATGCAAAATAATTTCCTTCATTTGACCTCATAAACAGTTTATTATTCAAAACTACTGTGATAACTAGAATATCAGCATTTACCCCAGACTCCTGAGCCCCACCTACCACAGGGTGAGGTGAAATGGACAGCAGATATACACATTCATAATAGGCTTCATTAGAGGAGAGGAAAATTCAGTTTAAGGAAATTAATCTTGTATAGCAGACAGTAAATAAGCTGCTTCTTTGCTCTAAAAAGAGAAATTGCATATGTTACATTGCAGTAAGGATTCCTGCCTTTTGCTCTATAGGGAATTATTGTCTCTATTTTGCAAAGATTTCCATTATTTAAATATCCATGAAAAGAAAGTGAGAAAAATTGTGCAGGACCTTACTTATAAGAAGTATGGAAACAAAAGACACCCATGCAGCACTGTCTTTCAACAATGCAGAAGAGTGAAGCTGGCAAAAAATTAAATCTCCTTAACCTCCTAGATAATGACAAACTTATTTCCAACTTAAAACTCCAACCAGTAATGTATAAAACCTCTGAATTGTTTACTAGTGGCCAATGCAAACTGCCAAAGTTGATACAGGTTGTTGATTTAATACATATGAAAGGATAATTTTAATTTCCATTTTCTTGAATACCAGCAAGATTCATAAAGTGAAAAAGTGTTTATTGAGCACCTTTATGCACCAGGTATTCACCTGAGTACTTGAGATATACCATAGAATATAAAGGAAGAAAAATCATGAAATCATAAAGTTGACACTCTGGCAAGGGGAAAAATAATACATGGTTGAAACAAATTATATATGTAAGAAAATATTACATAGTAAGGGAAAAATATACTAAATAATGCACAGTATTAGGGTAATATTTTTAACCATGTGGTCTTCTATTTTGTAAATTGCCTATTCTTATATTTACCCAATATTTATTGAATATTTGCAGTTTTTCTTTAGTATGTTATTTATTTTATCTTTATTAAAAATCCAAGTTTTTAAGCTACTCTTATATTCCCCCATTACATATAGGACAATTTTGCAAACAGGATGCTGCATATCTAATATAATGAAATTTAACAAAATTTCATTTAGTATCTGAATTTTTGAATTTAAATGAATCTTCCTAATTTCCAAAGGAAAAAATACATACTTTCACACTATAGCTATTATAAATGATACTCTCAAAGTCTGAGTACTAATTTAAAGAATATTTTAGTAGTTGTAGATGATAATAAAGCTATTTATTACCATACAATTTGTGCAATTCCATTTTTATTATTATAATAATTTACATGTACACACACACAAAGGTGATATTACAGTGGTTATAGGGAACAGGGAGTCAGTTTACCAATACCCAAGTTAGAAACTAAATGGAATTTGGCTTTTACATTTAATGTGGTGAGAAATTATTCACCTACCTATAGGACAAATGATGCAATAAGTTTTATATTTTAACTACATTACTTCAGTAACTATTTTGGGTAGTGTATATGGGAAGCAAATTTAGAATAGAAAAGATAAAATACACCTGTGAAACAGAGATTTTACCTTCAAACGCACACCACAGATACACACACACACACACACAGAGTGATTCTCAAACATGGCACACCTTCTCCTGCCTAGAGGCTTCAACATTTTTTGTCCATCTACCTGAGATTTTCTCTCATCCTGACAGCAACAATTCTCTCATTTTCTGGACTTTATGCAAAACCCAAGTTCAGTGCCAAGTTCCCAAGAAAAATTCTCTCTGCATATTAAACCTCCTCCCTCAAATTTCATTTCCTGTTTCTTGCTTTATTCTATCCTTCTAAGAATCATCACTATGGAAATACTATGTATTTATTTATCTTGGCAAATGCCTGTCTCTCCCCTACTAAAATGAAAGCTCCATGAGGGTAGGATCTTTTTTTCATTTCACTCATTTATTAATTATTGTATCATTAGATCCTGTGCCTAGAAGAGTTCCTGGAGAAGGGACTATGCAAAGTATTTGTGGAATGAAGAGGAAAAAATGAATTTAAAAAGCAAATGGGGTCAAAGTAAAAACAACCCAGACAGATATCCCTGGATCTAGCCTAAAATCACAAATGGAAATGCCTCTAGGGACAAATATGCATTTCATTAGAGTGAGGCAGACCAGCCAGAGGAATGGGCAACTGGAGAGCCCATTCTAAGCCTAAAAGGGGCTGAGTCAAACCTCAGATCCAGATTCTTATATCCTTGCTAGAACATGGGCACAGATCAATTGTTTTTTGCTTGTTCTGATTTTCAAGAGAAGCCAGAAATGAATTCACATCATGTGAACTCTCCCAGATATTCAAAGTATCTAATTTAAAATAGAAAACAATAAAAATTCACAGGTCAAACATGACATGACAGCAGTCTGAAATTGGTCCCAGGAGCCCTATTGGTGTTGGTTGGGCAAAACTGTGTGATGTATGAAAGAAGATAATTAATCTCTGCTATACTGAGGTGGGCTTGCTTTATGGAATTCTTGAGGCAATTAATGAACTTTGGGTCAATGTGAGGTGGAGAGAATGAACTGGATTTACTACCTTCTATAAACTCCTGGAAGGTCCTTGACCACACCCCTGTCCCCACTAAGGATGGAGTTAGCCTAAGCGACAGGGATCCATTCGCACTCTTTCTTTGGGGACAGAAGTGTGGTTTAGTGTAGGGCAGGGTGCAGAATCAAGAGAAAAGATTTTGACAGGGACCTCAGGAGGATACTGTAAAGGTAAGACAAAGAGGAGGAAAAGAACATAGACCCATGCACTGGACACCACGGTTCTGAGGGACTTTATTGGGGTTGCCACTCCTTTTGTCCATTAACCAGAACACCTCCATGTAGCATTCATTACACAGTCAAACTAATTACTTATACAAAGTCACATTTCCCAGCCCAACTTTCCATGGCAACTGCATCACCTGGAAAGAAAGAGTTTTACACAATTCCATTACAGCTCCCCATGAGTTTGTGGGTGGTCAACACTGTCCAGAAGGTACCAGTGAGATGTTAGTAGCCACTGGCTTTGTGGGGGGTCAAGAGAGAAGGAGGCTCCTAGTGTCAGGGGACCTCCCTTTGGTGGAGCATTGGTTGTAGCCAAATGAGGTTTCAGGCAGCTGCTGAAAGAAGCATGGACCATCAAGTATTCCTCATGCCCTGGACAGACATGAGGCTCAATCCTCTGATGCCCCAGCAGGAGGAAGACCAGTGATGGGACTGCTGTACTTGGGTTCAGCAAGGTTCCACTTTTCTGCATAGCATACTCTCCCACAGCCCAGTTTATGGAGCACCATGTTAGTGAGCTTAGGCTGAGAATTGAGGTTCTGCTCCGCAGGCGTGGCACAAACTCCCTGAAACAAGAAAAGCCTTATAGGTATAAACTTGGCTCCTGCTTAACCCATCTGAATCATCCCCATAAAAATACCCTTCTAGAGAACTTTCCATACATCTGCCTTCTTAGACAGTTGTCACTTCCTTTATGAACAGTGCCTGGGAGGTCAATATGGATATTGCTAGTAGTCCAACTAATTCCTGGGCCTATACATCCCTCATGCACCCCACTCCCCACAACATTTTTACTGTGTTCTCATTCCCTTAATCAGTCTTTCTTAGAATTATTCCTTCCTCAGCATCCCTCCCTTCCTGGCCTGATACCCACAGCAGACCCTCTCTTTGTGTGTCTTACAACCTCTCCCCAGATCTCTACCAACTGGATCTATCTCCCTTTATTATGAACCTCTTCTAAGCATCCTTGTGGCTCTCTCTACTCAGTTCATTCTATTTTCTTCCAAGCTCCAAGATCCCACTTTGTCTTATCCTTCATTCCTTTCCCAACTGGATGTTTCCCCTTCACAGTTCATCCCTCCCCCAGGGAGCCTCCTTCTTTCTGGCCCTTTTCCTCTTTACTTGCACAGTCACCTCTTCCTCTCCCTTTCCCTACAGCCCATCATTAGTCCCTTCCCCTCCCCCCTTATACCAGACCAGCTAAGTCTCATTTCTTTTTCAGATGAGTGATGAGAAGTTGCTTTGCTGCACTTTATTCACAGGCTAAATTGACAGCTGTTTCTTCTTTTCATGCCCCATCCACCAAACATACTCAATCTTTTCAAGAGAAAGTGCCTATACACAGTATGTCACATCCACATAAACTTGTATTTTTCAGAACAAAACAACAGTTATGCTGGTCATCAGGGACCCTTAAACTTTCAATACACTGGAAACCAGCATTTTTTGCGTGTCTACAAATTATGGGTTTATTTCCACAAATGTGGTAAGTTTTATCCCAATGTTTAGGACTTTTTCACCAAATCATAGACATAGATATGGAAATCATCATCAAACTTGATGAAATACACAGAAGGTTTGGCTTCCACTTGGTGAATGACCATGCCGATCCTTTTGGAGCCATCTTCTTTGGTATATTCCACATGTTTGCCTATCAGGCCATCTACTACTCCTCCTGGCTCCCTCTCTGCTGGAGGAGACTCACTGGACTCTGGCATGATGCGGAGGTCACCTTCTTTATAATCATCTAGAAGCTGGTACATGTACAAGACAGGATCTTTCTCATAGGTAATATAAAACCAGGCTTTCATGATAGGTGCTTGGGCTAGGACCATCCCCCTCCATTCATCCTTGGTACCATGCTCACCCTCAAACATATGTTCCACTGCTTTGCCAATTATGGTATTTGCAAGGTTGGCGTCACTAACTTGGGATGATGCCACCTTGTTGGAAAGAATTTTAAGAGACAAAACTCTTTCATCTCTGTGAAGTTCCAATCCATAGACACAGTCAATTCCATCATACTTCACTAGATAAAGGGAGGGATTTATAGGCACCTGATCCAGAACGGTTCCTTTCCACTGGGTGATGGGCTCATCACCTTCCTTCCATCCATGAGAAATTCTGCAGCCCACGATGTTTCTGCGGGGCTGGGATGAAGGTCTGCCCCTCTGCTTCTTCTGGGAAGCTTTCTTCTTTGTCAAGTTCGCAGACCCCGTGGCCCGTCCTGCAGCTGACCTGGTTTGCTGTCCTTCTGCCTCTTGTGTGTTGGGGGTCTTCATGCCTGCAAAGACAGGGAGAGAGGATACAGACAAATATCCAGTATGCCATAAGGTGAACTTCTTCTCCTTCTAGTGATGTCTCTGTGTACCCTGTGCTGGTGCCTAATACTATATTTCCCCTGGAGCCTGCCAGCAATGCTAGATACACTGGCTGCTGCCTGTGGTTTGTTGTTTCTCTCCTCTTCTCTTTTGCTCCCCCCCCCCCCCCAGGAACTGGACAGAAGGGCTGGAGTGGTGGTGGTGCTGAATGGGATTAGGAATTCTGCATATGGGAAAAGACAATCTCCTCTTTTCTCAGTGCCCCACTGCCTCCTCCCCCACCTGCCCCTGGAGCCCACTCCAGAGCCTCTGCAAATGCCTATCACTCCACCTTGTAAAGGACCAAGTGTCCTCCTGCCAGAGTTCCCCAAATGGCTCACATGCCCCCTGCTCACTCCAGCCGCTTCCCTGGTAGGGAACTCCCTGCTTCCCTGTGCTGATTTCCAAATCCTTGCTTGGTTTCTAAAGCCACTCCCTTTCCTGTTGCCCACAGCATTCCCCCACCCCACTCAAGCCTTGCGCCCACCTCTACCCCTTATCTCCTGCCAGATTCCAGCCCATCCCCCATCTTCTTTCTGGTCCCCACCAATGGCCTTGCCCTGTTGGGCGTCCACCGCAGGGGTTCGCGAGCCTCACGTGCCCAAATCGGACACCTTGCTGCTGCCTCTGCTAAAAGCCTGTTGCGAAGGTGGATCAGCGGGCTACTATCCAGCAGATTGTGTGCTTGCCAGAGTTGAGAGGGGAGAATTCTTAGGCGAGAGGGTCTAGGAGGGCGGCGGGGCTGGGTATGAGAGGCTGTTTCCCTGGTTCTAAGCTTGTGGGCCCTCCGTCTTCCTCTTGGTGGCGGCAGCCCTTCTGCCACCTTGGGCTTCCACTAGTCGCTGCCGTCGCCGCAGTCTCCTCCCTCTTCCCGTAGCGCAGCTTCCTGCCAGTAGAGAGGCCTCCCCTTCCTGCCAAACACACCCACCCCCACCGCAGTTCCTTCACCCACTACGGCTGGGATGCCAGAAGGAACAATTAGTCCTGGCTCCACCTCTTTCCAAAACCTATTTCAGCCTAGCCCATTGCTTGCCTGTTAAGGTTTGGCCTCCTCCGCTTGTTATCCGAAAGTCTCTTGACTCTTAATTTCACCTTCACTTCTGTCATCTTCTGCTGTTTCCTGTCTGCTTTCTATCCTCCAAGATTTCGCCTTTTCTCTTTTTAGTAGTGCCCCTGTGGAGTCAGTCTTTTTACTTATATTGACTTTCCTTATCTCTTAAAAGGGCTTCTGAAAGAAATACGCTAGTGTTTAGTCTGTCTTCTTGACTTAGTTTCTTTCTAATTTTTCTAATCTTTTACAAAACTAAGACCATCTTTCTGGTGCAGTTTTTTTTTTTTTTTACCTTGCCCGTCTCCACGTAGATAAAAACATTTTCTCATTACATTAGATATTTTTTGCAGCCATTCTTTCGGGTTTTTTTCATTTTCCAAATATTTATTCAGCACCTGTTACCTGTTTTATTGCCTTATGTCGATAAAATTCAATTTTACTATGATTCATAATTTTACTTTTCTCTCATTACTTGATATTTGCAAGAATATTTCCTAAACAACAAGCTACTTGATCTATTTATTATAATGTGAACCGTTGGATAAATATCTTTATAAGAAATACTTAGGAAAAATAGTTTTAGAAATCTGGAGAAAGCATATTCTTTAAGGAATACAGGAATAATTTCTTAAAATATTTTGGGAAAGTGTGTACTAAATTTGTGCTCATATCAATATTTGGTTTATTAAAATGTAAAGTACAGCAAAATAAAATAGAACCAAAAGCAAACAAGCAAACCTGCAAACAATATGAATGTTTAATTGATACTTATGGTATCTAAATCAAACGATAGGTTGAATGTTGACAGAACAACTAGGTTTAAGACAATAATTCCTTCAAGGGATATAAGATCAGTAGTAATTTTGACTTTACATAGTATGTAAGTTTTATAATATTACTTTCAATGACAGTAAGCATAAGAAAAGAGGTTTATATCTAGTGGAAATGTAAATAAATATTCATGCAATTTTTATGGAAAGCAATGAGCAGATCTTCTACAGTTCCTGGGAAGGTTTGTCTAGTCATGGTTGACCCTTATACTTGGGATATTACCCTTGAAATCCTTACCAAAACTGAAAAGGTTTGACCAGTGCCTTAAGCTCAGTTACTGTATCAGCAGCTTCAAAAAGCAGTCAGAAGCTCTGCTGAACTTCTAAGTCTTTCAGAAGTTCCCTGTAGAATGAATAAAGTTTCCTAGTAAAAAACCATCCACCAAATTCCATGTTCACTTCTTACAGGTGTTCTCTCTTTGTCTTGGATGAATAATTATTTCCTATCTTCTCAGACTTTCGATGCCTTTGAGCAGATTTTTTAAAGAAAGTTTAAAAATATTTCTGTCAAGAATTCATGTTTTCTTAACAGGAAAATTTTTTTGATTTTCTTTCTTAGTCTCCTATTACAAAAATCTGCAACTGCTTAATATTAAATATGTATGCTCATAACCAAATTGCTTACGTTAAATGTATATAGCAATCTGTAGGCCTGACATACGTCAATAAAGTGGTTTAAAAATTTTTAACTGCCTTCAACTGTTCAGAATACGTTCAAACCAAAAATTACCTAAATTTCCATCAACAGTGTCTTGGATATATTGTTATATATTCATATATTAGAATATCACACAGCAGTGACTGAGTAGGTTACAACATGCAGCAACATAAATGAGTCTCACAAATAAGTCAAATAAATTCAGACAACAAAAGGAGACACACTATGATTTATTTGAAATTAAAACAGTCGAACTAATCTACTGCCTTAAAAGCTAAAATAGTATTCATTCTTGCAAGGATATTTTCCAAATAAATGTTAATTCATATTCTACCAATAGTTTACAGAATTAAACATGGAAGACAATTTTGAAAGTGTAGGGCAGGAAGGTTATATAAATGCTGAGCTGCAAAATCAATGAGTTGTAATAGATATCAGTTGATATTACAGCTAAACATCCAATCACACTTCTGGTAATAGTGCCAGAAATATCCTCTGGAGAACAACCTAAGCCTGACCAGTCAGACCATTGAATTACTGTTAAAATATTGGTTTAGGTAGAAGCAATCAATTTAGAGTCAGTGAGGCACAATTATATTTGCATAAACTTCTGGGCATGAAACAGATGATCTCTCCTATCTGAGAGTGAACCTGAGAAGATACGAGAATTAAGTTGCTCTATTCACTTTATCATCATTTGAAGACAGAACAAAAGAATCACAGAGAAAAGAATGAAGCAAAGCTAAACAAAAAAAGAGATTGTCCTACTGACACATTTTGTACTCTTGAAGATCATGGTCACTGACTTTCCAATATTGCTTCCAATTTAAAAACTCAGTGTAAGTTCCTCATGGTGATGTTATTTCCTCTACAAGTAATTGGTTTAACATCAGACATGTGATCTAATATTGACCAATTAGAGATGACATGGAGAAAAGTTTGTTAGAGGACTTCTGAAAATATTTCTTTACTTCTAAAAATGAGAAACAAAATTATGTTTTCTTTTCTTTTTAATGATGATTCTATGTTTGTGTATGATCCCTGGAGTTGCTGTAACCAGCCTGAGAGAAAACTCTACATAATGAAGATGGAGAGGAAAGAAAGGGACTATTTTGAGATCTTCTATTATATCATCTAGCTGCTATTCATATAATTTATGGAATCTTATCTCTGACTCTTAGTCACGTAATAACAAATTATTTTTTATAGTTAAACTAGTTTAAGCGTGGGTTTTCTGTTATTTGTTTAAATGGAAAAGTGTCCCAAAACTTAAATGACATATTATCCTCAGGCAATATCATTAGAGTTTAAATTATAGGAAACAAAACTTTCTCACAGATTCATAGCCAGTTCCCATGCCAGAAAATGGAAAATTGCCTCCATATTAAAAATTTGGGGTTCAGTTGAAGATGAGAAATAAGGAGCTATCAGAAGATCAAGAATAATATTTAACAGACACCAATCTAATATGTAAAAAATAATACACTAAGATGAGCACACAACTCCTTAAATGAATGCTGCCAACAAAATGACGAGCTACTTATGTTATTCTCAGAGGAAGAGATAGCTTTCCTGCTTACAGTATCTCCACTTCAAATCTATTTTCTATTTTAGATTCATCTGCCTTAGATAAAATATGATATCTATTATTATGAGAATAAAAGATTGAGTCATTTATTTTTTGAAATTTTGTGCATTAGCATTAAATTCCTTTTCCAAAATTATCAAAATTTAAAAGTTTACTGTAATCTTTATAATAATACAAATATCTATAATGAAAAATAGACTAATTATCTTCTCTATTCCCTTTCTTACTTCACTTTCCAACCTCCCAGGACTCCCTGATGTTTTTCATTCTATCTCCAATTGTATTTAACCCATATTAAGCTCTTTCAAGTCATTTTTTGTTTTTTTGTTTTTTTTGTTTTTTTGTTTTTTACTTTTATTAGTACATGTTTCAGTACATAGTGGTTACATTCACTGTAGGGAATTGGTACATGTACATAATATATTTCAATTCTTTTTTCCTTTTGCCCCATCCTCTTTTATTTTTCCAGCATCAGATTCATTTATCTTATAAGATATTCTGAAGATACTTATCATATATACAGATTGAAAACCAGACTAATATGTCAAAGAACATACAAAACAAACCATCTTCTATGATAATAAAAATAATAAATTCAAATACAAATATAGGAATTTGGAAGTCTTTCTCACTTTATAACATAAGTGGGATCATGCTATACACATCTGTTTGCAACTTCAAGTCAATATATAAAGCTATAAAACAACCATTTTATAATTATATGATATTTTACATCTTATATATATCATAATGTATTGAATTTCTGTTGATGCAAATTCAGGATTTTTGCAGTTACTTTGCTATCAGAGACAATTCTGCAATAACAAGTGAATACAGCCCAATTTTAATAGTTTTCTTTCCTTTGTCAAAGTTAATTGTGCTTATTTGGCTAACATGGTAAAAATATCTCTGTCCTCTCTCAATGCTGCTGAATTCATTTTTCTTACAGCTACCTGTGCTTATATAAGACTTTTTTTTCAAATAAAGTAAACTGTCTTTCATTTAAAAATATATATGTCTTTCCTTGTCTGGTCTTTCCCCCACTTTTCATAAATTTTAGCACTCTTCTAAAAGCTGTTGGATCAAAAAAAAGTAAAATTAACACAGAACTTGAAAAATGAGAGCAACAAGAACACAACATATTAAAATATGTCAGTTACATTCAACATTGTACTCAAAGATAAATTTATACTAATGACAGTATTTATTAAAAATTAACTAGAAAAATTATTGATACAAACATCAATGGAAACTGGGAGGAGATAACTAAAATTTGCCCAGAATTATGGTGTAAAAAACAGATTAGTAAGAGATACACAGAACCTTAAGTCTAAGTTTTATGAAAAGCCAAAATGACTGGAAACAAGATCTCTAGCAAATACAGGGAAAAAGTGTAAAGAAGATCTGTAGCAAGTCATTAAAAAATATAAAATGTTGGTGTAATTATTTATTCAACAAAATTTTCTGGAGTAGCTCTTATGTTCTAGGTCCTTTCTAGGCACTGGGTTAGTAGAATGAATGACGCAGACAGTTTCTGTCTTCAGAATTTATATTATAGTAAAGTAGAAAGAAAATTAAGAAATAACCTAATAAAAAAACAACACATAGTTATTAAGTACTATAGAGGAAGAAACCTGTGGTTGTGAGTTAGAGGGAGAGAAACTCTGAAGAGGTGACATTTGAGTTAAGACTTGAGACTTGCCATATTATGAAAGGTTATTAAATCCCTGAGAGTAAGAAATATTTTGAGGG